AAAAAAAAAAGACACTGTAGTAAACTCTGCTTCAAGAGGCAGCAGTACCGCGTTTGAAAGTGAAGTCATAACGCCCTAACAGAGGTAATTCACTTTCCAAGGACAAGGATTTGTTGATTCCATCAGAGAGGCATTTTGCTCTGAGACTGAAGTAAGCAGAAACAGAAGGGCTCTAAGTAAGGAAAGCTACTGGGTCACTTAGGCGCCGGTGCCTCTGGACATAAACAACTCCTGTTGATCATCCAAGATTCAACGTTCACTTAGGAAACATATAAAATAAGTTATCAGGTGCCAGGTACTTAAGTCAAATTTCCCCTAACTCTACCCACTCCATTTACTTCCTGACAACTTTTATGGGGTACCATCCCCAGGTACCCCAGTACCTCAAATGGGGCCTTATTTTGGAAACAAGCTCTTTACAGAAATAATAAAATTTAAATGAAGTCATTACCTTAGGGTCCAATTCACTTTGGCCCGTGTCTTTATTAAAAGGGGAAATTTGGACACAAAGTCAGATATGCAGAAAAATATAAGTCAAGGGAGAACATCATCCTAAAGTCAAGGTGGGCCTGCGCCATCAAGAGCTAGGAGAGATGAATTCAACAGAGTCTTCTTCACAGACCTCAGGAGGAACCAGCCCTGCCAACACCTGGATTTCAGATTTCTAACCTCCAGAACCAAAAGAAGAAAAAAAAAAAAAAAATCTGTCGTTTAGTTCACCCAGTGAGTGGAACTTGGTTACAGCAGGAAACAAATACAATTAGAGAGGCCAGGAAAGCTGAACCTGTATCTGTTCAGATGCCCTTGTAGCCAGGGGTGACCATGGAACACAGTTTCATACAATGAAGCATCACCAGAAATCAACTGGCACTTCTGGGAACATGTTGGCTTTAGTAGGTGACACGGGATGTTTTAGTGACTAAAGAATCTGACCAGAACAACTGTAGAGGAGGAAGAGTTTATTTGAGGGCTCACAGTTTCAGAGGTCTTAGTCTATAGAAGGCCTGCTCCATTCCTCGGGGCTCGAGGTGAGGTTGTACGTCACGGCAGGAGAGTGTGGCAGAGGGAGGCTGCTCACGTGGTGATCAGGAAGCAGAGAGAGACTCTACTCTCCAGGTACAAATATTCACACCAAAGCCACACCCCAAGCCCCACCTCCTCCAGCCACGCCCTACCTCATCAGTTACCCTCAGGTAACCCCTATCGGGGGATGAAATCACTGACTGGGTTAATACCCAACCCGATCATTTCTCCTCTGAACCTTCGTGCATGGTGAGCTTCTGGGGGACACCTCACATCCAAACCATATCACAGGATAAGAACGGAGCAGGAACAGGTGACACCAGCAAGGACTGGGCTCTGAGACCAGAAGACGTAGGTGGGTCAAGGAGGCCATCCCAGGCTCTTTAGGGCTTCAAGCTGGGTCTCCACAATGCCCACAGAGCCCCCAGAATAAGACACTTTCCAGCGAAGGAAGCAAAGCCTTAGGTTTGCCTAATGCAGAACTAAAAGGCTGTCCAGGCCAAGGTGTATGAGCTTGCATGAATTTGTCTTTTTTTTTTTTTG